TCCTCTCACCCTCACCAGCCTCGGCTGACCGCCGCCCAACAGCGGCGCCAGGCTGCTGAAACCGGGGCTTCCCGCGTCTCTCCCCGGCCGCCCCCTTACCATTTCTCTCCCCCGTGAGCAGAAACGACGCGGACAAGAGGCGGACACAGTGGGTGAGGGGCGCAGCGTCGTCGTCGTCAGGCTGCCCGATGTCCCCTCTGATGTGGCAGGGCTGGAACAGAGACACCGACACTCGCTTGTCTGACAACAGCACACGCTCGTCCCCTCGCTCACTCAGCATGGCTCCCACGCGGCAGCGGGCGGTGCTGGGACACAGGTGCTGCCTCACCGGCCACGGGTGAGAGGCAGGTACCATCAGGGCCGCGTGGGCTGCGGCAGGGACGACTCAGCGCGCAGAGGGCACTCCAGGCAGGGGCTGCTGGGGAAGCCACTGGCTCTGGGCAGGGCGGCCCCGGAGCTGGGAAAAGCCCGAGGCGCAGCGGGAGGAGCCTGTGTGGGGACCTAAAGCCACGACTGAGGCTGCAAGAGGGACTGAGCGCCTCTGTGGGCTGAGCACCCACTAGTTCCTGCCCTCAAGGCATTTAAACTAACTGGGAGGACAGGCAGTTCCTCAGGAAACGAAGTTAGAATGACCACCTGAGCCAGCCATCCACCAGGAACTGAAAGAGGGCCTGGAGGAGACACCTGCACACCATGACCCGCCCCGCTGTTCCCAAAGGCCAACGGGGAAGGAGAGAAGACAAAATGTGATGGCACACAGAACGGAATCTTAGCTCATGTTTAAAATAAAAGGCAGGAGAGTCTGACACCTGCTACAACATGGATGGCCTTGAGGGCAGGATGCTCAGTGACGTGAGAGAGTCACACAGCAGGGCCATACTGTAGGGTCCCACTTATGTGAGGCCCCTGGAGGCGTCAATCCAGAGAGCGCACGCAGAACGGAGGCCCGGGGCTGAGGAGGGAGGACTGGGGCTGCGGTGTCCGGGGAAAGAGCTTCCGCCTGGGAAGGGAGGGGGCTGGGAGACGGATGTGGTGACAGTCAACAACGTGAATGCATTTAAGCCACTGAACTGGCAAGTTTTAAGTTCCGGGTATTCTACCACAATAAACAAACCAACAAAGCGATTCAAAGGGACAAAAGCAAGACACACTGCACAGCCCTGCAGGTGGTCAAGTGAATGGTCCCAGAAGGCGGGGAGGTAGACAGGCCAGTGGGGGGGCTGCAGGGAGGAGGCCTCGGAGGTTCTCCAGAACGGCCGGGGTTGGGGGGTAGGGGGGGCAGCACGCGACAGACAGCCCAGGGACCACTCTCCTGCGCCTGAGCCTCTCACCTTGTTGTCCTGATCCCCTGGGTCGGTGGCGTCCTCTCTGGACACACCCCTGTCCACACTGCTGTCCGAGGGCTGCCTGCTGTGGCCCATGCTTTTCAGTAAATGTGCTTGCTGAAGGGCTTCCAAAACACAGAAGCAGGGTCAGTGACAAACCTCACATTACACGCGCACGCGCACGTTCAGAGTCAGCGTGAACGGAGGCGTTAGGTCAAGGAAAAGGGCGATGGTCCCTCGACGTTCCTCCTCACCCACAACCCAGAAAACAGACACCCCGGGACTTCTTCCTGGGCACAAAGACAAACGAAGGTGGCGGGGCTGCCGCACACGCTGGAGCCCACATACCCGCGGACGCAGCTGCGAAGGCGATGGAGTCCTCAGGAAGGCCTGCGGGCTCCTCCTCCTCCTCCGCCTCCTCTTCCCCCTCCTCCTCCTCCGGCGGTGGGAGCTGCATCCCCAGGTCCTGGCTGTCGGCGCTGTCTAACACCTGGACGGTGCAAAGGGGCTGTGAGGCTCTGAACGAACTCCGAAGGGCAAAGGGCCGCCCCACAGCCACAGAGGCCGTCCTCCAATGCACACAGACGCATGCGCCCAAACTGCCCCGAGCTTGCAGATCACGGCACCACATGCTCTAAAAAGCTTAAACTCTAGAAATTCCAGTCCGTAAATCTCTATTTTTTAAAAAGATTTTTACCCGAGGAGGAGATTTTTTTTCCCATTGAATTTTTTTAGCAAGAGGGTGGAAGGGAAGGGGGCAGAGGGAGAGAGAGAGAGAGAGAGAGAGAGAGAGAGAGAGACAGAGAGACAGAGACATCGATGTGAGAGATTTTAGCAGAGTCCATATCAACTAATCTAACTCTGCCCTCATTCAACACAAGACGCTGGGCCACTCCCGCAGCGACGGTCTCAGAAGGGGCTGAGCGCTCCGTTTGGGGCTAAGCCGGTGCCTCTGCACTGTCAGTGGGTCGGACGGACGAGGGTCCAGGTCTGGGCCTCCAGGGCAGCCCCTATGCAGACACCAGGCGCACCCTCCCCACTTACGATTTCGGAGCTGTCTGAAGGGGTCACGGCTGAGTCGGGGCCCTCGGTGGTGGTCTGAGAGCTGTCGCTGAGGGGGGAGGAGGCCTGGGTCCCATCGTTCAGGTCCATGGCCGGGTCGGACGGGACCGCGCTGATCTGGCTGGAGCTGTGGCTTAAGATATCCTCCTCGTCCCCGTCAGTGGCTGCACTCGCCAAGTCACAGCCGGTCAGATCCACCGAGTCCGGCTGTAGCGTGTGCTGTGACCGGGGCTGCTCGGTGATGATGTCGTGACCCGTGGAGTCAGCCGCGGAGCTGACAGAGCCCGGAGTGGAGACCCCGGAAGAGGCAGCCAGCTCCCCACAGATCTCGCCCTTGACTGAGGCTGAAGACAAAGGGCCAAGAAAAACATCCGCTAGGGATCAAATGCTTGCAAATACCCTCAAATTCACTGTCACTATTTTAACAGTAAAAATCCTCAAATACAGTGAAATGAACTAGAATATTTCAAAAGCAAGACAACAGTGCATCCTTTAAACATGATCACAACTGCAGCCCACTGTTACTGCCCTTTCACCACGTTACCGCATCGGATTAAAGAGGTCGGGTCAGCCCTAGCTGCTGTGGCTCAGTGGATAGAGTGTCAGCCTGCAGACTGAAGGGTCCCAGGTTCGATTCGGGTCAAGGGCACATGCCTGGGTTGCGGGCTTGATCCCCAGTAGGGGACGTGCAGGAGGCAGCCACTCCATGATTCTCTCTCATCACTGATGTTTCTCTCTCTCTTTCCCTCTCCCTTCCTCTCTGAAATCAATAAACATATATATATATTTTTAAAAATTTTTTTTAAGAGCTCAGGTCAGCAGCAGACACCTGTTACATCTGCAGTGTTCCCACAGGCGTCTGTTTCACTGCAGCTCTGCCGCGGCACTTCAAGTCCTCCGCAGCTGCTGGGCCTGGCGGGGAGTGCGAGCAGCTCCCGGAGCTGCTGGGCAGAGCCACGCTCACAGGCACTCCGGGCAAGCAGTGCTCAGAAGCAACGAGGGTAAGTTCACCATCGCTTCGAGGTGGCCTTTCCTCCTCTCAGACCCTGTTCCAGACCCCGACGCTGCGCCTGCTCCCCTGCAGCACAGATGTGAAGTTTCCTGGTTTACTCTTCACTCCCATAAACAACGACAGGAAGCTCTCACCACACGGCAGGCAGTGGCCACTCCTGGAAGCCCGTGGTCAGCGAGCACTTGAGCTGTATTACTGTAGCTGTAATTTTACTTTAACTTTATTTTCGTAATTAGAACATGGATTTCTATTTTGTAAAATAAATGAATACATAATCACCATTGGGATGATTCAGATTTTCCTTCGCAAATAAATTACCTAAAAACATTCTTTCAAATAGAATTATACAACTCAAACCACTCTCATTTAATCCAATTATTAGTATCTTAGTCAATACTCATCCTTTAAAAGGTGACTAAAGAATCTCATACCTCATTAGATAACTATCTGTGAACAAATGTAGAATTCTTCTTAAGTCATCCGTAGACGATTTTTAATCCTTTTCCCCCTCACAACCCATGCGGTTCACTGTTACCCACCACCCTCCTCAGAAACTGGCGCTCAGGAATAGGGACCTAGTTGTAAAGCTGCCGACACCAAGGGAAACAACAAGTGTCGGATGCAAGGAGACACACACGTTCCAAAGGGAACCTATAAAAGGCCTCAATGCTCCACCACGAGCAGCTGGCTTCCCCACTGCCCCGGAGCAGGGGGTGGTGAGGCGGGGAGGAGGGCAGGGGCAGGAGGGAGGTGGCCCCCACGTCACCCCGTCACCCCAAGAGCTACCTGCGAAGGCCGGGCTGCTGCCCTCCGACCGGGACTCGGAGTCCTCCTCCAAGGCCGCCGCTTCCCCCAGGAGCACCTTCCCTAGGAGAGAGGCAGCGCCTTGAGCTGGGAAGGAGGACTCCGCAGCGCAGGCAGCGCACCCCGTGCGGCCTGTCACTATGCGTAAGGGCGCTCTGCCCGGAGCGCTGAACACGGGGCACTAAGAACATCAGCGAGTCCACACGGAAACACTGGACAGCCTGGTCCTCAGATGGTGCTGCAAGTGCTTTACAACCATAAATACTTACTGGCACATGTGACAGTTAATATCACATGACTTATGTTACTATTTAACCTAAAAACGGCAAGTTACGGCTGGAACTACTTCTCTTAGCCCTTCTGTTATTCCTGTCGCATCTCCAATGGTGTATCAGAATTTACACATAAAACGTCTACTCCTAAAGGCCACTTTTATTATCTTTTAATTTGCTAGATTCTAAGATTAATCATAACTCAAGCACTGTACAATCTGGGAGGTTGAAATAATATTTCATCTTTTGCAAAGTTCAAAAAATACATTTTACAGTTTATAGTTTCCAGGCTATATTCACATAAAAAGAAAACGAATGTTTGAATGTGACTTAACTGGACTCATTAAATCTTACGGTTACATTACATGTAAGTGTCACTAACTGGCAGTAACAAAACAATTATTGGCAACTTCTAATTTCACTGCTCTTTAAAGAACAGGTCACAGGTGCGACGACTTCCCAAATTTACACTAATGTGACATTAAAAGCAAAGCAAAAAACAACAAAGGAGACCCCAAATGGAGATGACACGGACACAGCGGACACAGCGAGCGGCGGGCCTCCTGCATAATGGGGTCCTTTATCCCAGACCGGGCGGTGAACCTGGAGAAAGGCCTGGGCCCCGTGCTCAGGTGCCGAAGAAAGCAGTCTGCCCCCAGGAGCCCTCCCCAAGGGGAGCCAGGGCCCTGCCGGGCCACACACACCCCAGCCTCACCTGACCCTACATCCAAAACAAACCTACCGCTGTCTCTCCTACATACCGGCAGGTGTCATTTGAAAAGAGAATTCTGAGGCTGCAACAAAGAAGTTAGAAACTACAGCTCTGATGGAAAAAACAACACAAAACAGAAAACGCTGGAAAAGCAAAGAAGAACCTGAGGACCTGCCCGAGGTCCTGGCCAGAAGAAAACAAGCCACTCCTCGCGTGGGCCTCGTGCCTGCCCACCATCGCTAGAGCGCGGCTGAGACCAGCGCAGCATCACAGGAACATCCCGCAGGCCCGGAGCCTCCCGATTCCAGGAGAGAGACGGACTAACTCCCCTAGAAGCCTCGGCTTTGAACAATCTTAGTTGTTCACCAAAATCTCCAAGTCCATGAAGTGGCCCACACTGTGACGGCCAATCAGAGCTTCCGAGTTCGTCTAGGAAATGTTTTAACTTGGCCACGGCTACACATTATTCCTGTAAAGACGGCATTCAACTGCCAGTAACATTAGCATCGGGCTCTCAAATACACACAAAACTCATGACACGAAACAATTAGTATGTTGTATGCCAATTATACCTCAATTAAAAAAAAGAATTAGTCTTTTAAGATTTCAAAATAAAAAATGGCAGCAAGTACTTCCTATAGAAATCTAGACTGGAAAAGAAAATAAATGCTGTTGCAAAGTGATAGTATGTACCCAAACTGTCAGATTTTATTAGAAACACTTTGATCTAATAAAAATAATTGTATCAGAACACTTCGGCCTGTACAAAGCCAAATATGGTTGGAATACCCCAGGCCCCAATTAACTAATTAGCCAATGGTTATTTCTGACTAATAACAAAACCGACTGGGAAGACAGGTCACCTTAGTAAACATAACGCACTGCGGCAGCAGCAGGCAAAGCAGGCCGCCCGCTCAGGACTGAGTCTGACTGGAAGGCGGCCGCACCCGGAGCTCAGGACGCCACAGGCAGGTGGCAGAGGACACGGGAAGGCGCCAGGGCTGAAACGGGAACCCGGGCCTTTACAGAAAGCCTGCCCAGCCCTGACCCAGAGCCGGCAAGTTGACGACAGCTTCTGACCACGGCGTGTGGAAGCCAGCACCTGCCAGGCCCGACCCAGCAGCATGCACCCACAGGCAAGGCATCGGAACAGAGACAATCAGCAAGGCCCAGACTGATTTCTGAAATAATCACCTTTTTGTTTTCTTGAAAGGACAGGGCTGCATGAAGAACCCCCTCCGGCTGTAAATCACAAAAGAACGACAGATGAAAGTAAGGCAGCGAGCTGTTGAAATTCAGAAGGAATTCAAATATTTTCAAAAAGCTTGATTCAACTTTAAAGCCAGAGAATATATGAACGTATTTCCAAAAGGAAGTGCTCCGCGTTAATTCTGACATGAACATTACATTACCACGCAAATATACATACAGTTCAGGCCTACAATGTCAAGAGTGCATATACACTGCATGTGAAAAGCCAAATTAAAACCATCAGAAATCTCAGAATATCTGGTCAACTAATAAGCAAGGATAAATTTCCGTTAGGAACCACCATTAGAAATGAGTATTTTGGCGATTATTTCTAAGGCGCGCGTTCCGTAGAGAAAAGGTTCTCCAGTACAAGGACAGGGAACAGGCACATGACCATCTTCTGCTCCCGGCACACGCGTGCACACACACACGCAATGCACTACATGGACCGCACACCACAAGGCCAAGGAGAGGCCGGGAGAGAGGGAAGCCCCCAGGAGCTGCGACCCCAGGCTCCCGTCTACCCCAGCTCCTAGGGGCGTCTCCATGTCAGGCAGGGCCACTGCTGCAGGAACACCAGGGGGCAGGGGGCAGGGGCAGCAGCATCGGTGGCTCAGGGCCCCCCCAGAGCAAGCACAGTGGGAGCAGAGACGGGCCGGCGAGGAGAGCTTTCCTAAAGTCGGTGAGGACAGCAAACAGAGACCCAGAGGGCAGCAGGGACAAAACCCTGGAGATCCAAGACCCATCTCCGCAAAGTGACAGATGACAGGCCCTGGAAACCTCTCCGCGCCATGTCCACTCCAAGGCAGACGAGAGGCCGCCTGGAGGCAGCCGCGCAGACAGAGCGACCCCATCTTGCCCCTCCCCTCCCCACACATCAGTTCCCTGTGCAGAGGGCGCCCGCACCTCTCTGAAAGTCCGGTGAGGAGCTGAGGCATCGCTGCCCTGGCCCAGACTCAACAGCGGGTGAGCACTCCTGCGCCCCGGCTCAGCACTCACCTATCAGCTCCACGATGCTCCCGCTGCGGCTGCGGCTGCCGGGCTCCTGGAGGGGCGCGCTGAGCTGCGCCAGGCCGCCCGGTGTGGTCAGGGCGCGCAGCAGCTCGGGGGGCGGGGTCCGGAGCAGCTGCTGCAGGAGCTCCAGCGCCCCGGTCACCACGTTGTGGTCCGGGTGCTGCGCGTAATGCAAGGTCAGCTCGTAAACCTGGAGGCGAAGACGGGCGGCTGTCACGGTGTTCCCACGGGCCCTGGTGTCCCTGCCTGTCTGACGGCTTATGCTGGAGACGGGGGCCTTCATTTCTGCCCCTAAAACTCTGTCACGTCCACCAGTGCGCTCAGCAGCTGCCAGGTGGCCTTCTGAATCCCCACGAGACTTGTCACCAATTCCTTAAGGGAAGCGGAGCACGTGCCCAGGAGCAGAGGCAGCTGACGAAGGTGTCCGCCTCGCGGGCTGGCCAGGGATGGAGAGCACGCTCCGTGGGCACTGAGGCAGGGCTGACACTCCCTAAGCAAGGACCTCGGTCAGGAGAGCCACCCAGAAAGAGCTGACGGAGCTTGTAAAGGCCTCAAGGCAACTTTTCTCAGTGCTTCTCACACGACCTATCACGTTCCATGAACATGATGAATGTATTCTTCATTAGAGTTGCCAAATAAAATACAGAGCACCCAGTTAAGTTTGAATTTCAGATAAACTAATAACTTTGTAGTATGGTTGTGTGATTTCAGGCAGACTTTCACCACACAATTATTCGCAATTTATCTAAAGTTCAAAATTAACTGGCACTCTTTTTATTTGCCAAGTGGGCAGCCTGCCCTTTAACATCCTAATAGTAAAACATACGTTCAAAAAAGACAGAGACAGCACAAGAGGGCACAAACTAAAAGGCTCCAGAGGCAGTGACACTGAACCGCTTGCTCTGGTTCTTCTGGGGGACCCTCCATCACTCTAGGTCGCAGGTCTGCAAACTGCAGTCCACAGGCAACCCGCCCGCCACCTCTCCGCACGCGCACGCCGTGTCCGCGGCATCTGCAGCTGCCTCCGTGCTGCGGCCGTCAGAGAAGGCGTGCGCCCCTGCACGAGGGAGTCTACCGCCTCTGAACAAACTCCCTCGTAAAATGAGGACTCAGCAGCCCACTGCCCCCACCTCGCCTGCCCTCCCGAATGCTGTCAGCGACATCACTGCTTCATATTATTAGGGTTCACAATGTGTCACTATTTAAATCATGTGCTTTGCCTAGAAGTTCAGTCAAAAACCGAATTTAAAAAAGTACACATCTTATCATGTGTACAAACAGGACTGAGGGAGCTCGATAAGTGTTTACAGAACAGACGAACACGTTTCAGGGCCTGGTTTAGGAACAGGGTCCCGGTGCTCTGTGCCAGGCTGGGCTAGGAGGGCCCATGTGCCACGCTGTAACCTCGGGAGAGACGACCTGCATTTCCTTCTGAGGTCACAGGGCTGGGGGCCGTGACCTCGGACCTGAACCAGGGGTCCGGCTCCGGAGCCTGTGCTCTGAACCTCGGCTGTGCCGCTCCCCTTCCCCCTGAGCCGACTCGCTGGGTGTCAGTCATGGCTGTGTCTGCACCAGAGTGAACCAGGGCTCCTACCTGCACCAGCTGCTCTGTCGAGGGGGAGACTTCCATTTCCTTTCGCGTCACCCCAAAGCTGCCTTTCAGGCTGGTGTCCTGGACCTGCTGCTGCAGCAAGGGCACCAAGTACCGCAGTGTGAGCAGCGCTCCAAGGACCAGCAGGGAGGGGTGCTCGCCCTCGACGGGAACCAGCAACCCTAGAAAGCAGCACAGCTCTGCATCTGGCTCCTGCTGGGACTCCGGCCTCTGTGGTTGCAGAGTCCCCGGCAGAGCCCTTTCTGAGCTGGCGGGGCGGACAGCGATGGCACAGGCGTCGCCGTGAAAGCACACGTGTGCATCGCATCCCGGGGCAAGACCCAGGGGGGCTTCAAAGGGAGACTCAGCACCTGGGCTGAGCAAGCAAGGCCTTCACACTGAGTGTGCTGCATGTGGGCGTCGGGCGTCCTTGCATACAAATGTCCACGTGCCGCCTGCATTTGCTGGTGCTTTTAGTTGCACGTGTGCAGGAGAGGCCGTGGGCAGCCACGCCGGGCAGAGAACCGCCGGGCCGGAGGCGCAGCTTCAGGCCGCGGGGACTCCCTGCACTCAGGGCCACCACGCCGGCTGGGAAGTCTGGCTGCA